AGCAGAGTCCCAGGTACTAGTGTCTGAAATCCCAATGGATGAAGACTGAGATACTCCCTTGTTAAAAACTTCTCTCAGTGTAGAACCATTCCTCCATTAAGGATCTTAAGGGAACCGGGAAGGTAGAAGGACCTGCGGACTCTGGAAAAGAAATGGTCCACGTGAGCGGATTCTGGAACTATTGCAATAGGCTGAATATCCTCATTCGATGATTCCATTTCTCTGAATGTATATATCGCCAAGGATTCCTCAGAGTATTCATTCTGGGAATAGTTCAGAGGATCTGAGCTTTAGCAGCTCCTATGACGTCTTGAGATATCTCCTGTTTGACACAGGGGTAGATGGCCTGTAACCACTTTTAAACAGTCTGTGCAGAGACTTTACATTTACAAGGCTCTTACCATATGCCTCACAAAGGATCCTTTAGGGCGACTTACCTTGTATGATCCTGATTATTTTCTTCCCATAGAGCGATCATCATAGGGAATTACAATTATTTAATAGGCACCCTTTTGTTTATTAGCGACATCAAAAATAGAATAGCTTACATATGTCTCTTAAAGTGTGACCTTTTTTTCCAGGAGCAGAGGGTTCTGAATCCATAACTGCATAAGATTCCCTTTTGTCCTTAAAGCAAATCTCTGCTAAAACAAGTAGAGATTGATAGATACAGAAAAAGATGTAATATACCTCAATAAAGAAAAACTTACCAAAACCAAAAAGGAGAATTCAAATAGAATTCTACTTACTTAATATATCTATAACCTATTAGAAAAAAAACTGTGCTTAAAAGGGGGAGCCAATACGACACTGCAACCACTGCAGCTAGACTTACATTCCAGAATACGCACAAGCAAATCAGATTTTCACTCATGCAAGGAAATGGCATGGCACGAACGTTTGACTAGCACCTGCGTATTAAATGTTGGGGATTAAATGTTGAGGAAAAAACCTGAATGGGCGCCCAAGTAAGTATGGAAACTTATGGACTTCATCATTTTATATTTAATTTAACCACCCTGTACATTTATATTATTTTATATATCTTGTGTGCATTGTATATTTTCTTGCCTTTATATCTTGTCTGTTATGTTAAAGTGTAGTTTTGCTAGCCCTGTATGTAATTGTTTTATTGACCTATATGCATTCCTCTATTTCCCCTGTGAATTCTGACTGACCTCTTACCCCTCCCTTCTTTTATTGACATGTTTGTTTTTATTTGAATAACTATCCCTTCATCCCTGTGCCTAGATACATATCCCCTCCCTCAGCTTTATTGCAAGCCTATCTGACCCTCACATATCTTTATTCAACAGCCTGACTTCAGAATTATTAAACCCCAATACTGCTGTAAGAAAGTCTGATATCCGCCCTCCCCTCACCACCTCACCACATTACATAGATTGTCTGTCACACCCAAATTTTAGATAAGTAAAAATAACAGGTGTACACACTGCCTCTTATTAGTACAGTTCTACACTTTCTTAACCCATAAAACTTAATATTTACCCTACCTTCACCTGCTCTTGATATTCCAATTATTTCCAATGTACTTTTTCACAGTTTAGCAATGATTTGTCTCCTCCTCCTCTTTATTTCCTCCTTCTCCCTCATTTAAAAAATCTCTCCTTACACCCACTTCATGCATCCCCCATCCATATTTAGACATGCCCCTCTCTGCTACACTCCCCCCTTCTCTGATCTCATGCCTTGCACTCATTTTTCTACTCTTTAACTCCTACCCACATTCGATCTCAACCTGGACCCATACAAAACCCATTCACACCTCCTGTCACTTTCCCTCCTCCTGCTTCTAGCAGCTGGTGATGTCTCTCCCAATCCAGGGCCCCTCTCTACACACACTAAGAAAACCAGAAACCCCACAAACCTCATCACAATACCCTGCCCTTTTACCCTCACTTACCAACATTCAGTGTGTACTCTGGAATGCTCACTCCGTCTGCAGTAATTTAAAATCAACAGCCATACATGACTTTTTCATCTCAAACTCACTCAGACTACTTACACTTACAGAGACCTGGCTGTCCCCCTCTGATAGCGCTACTCCTGCCACTTTATGTTTTGGTGGGCTACAATTCTCTCACACTCCCAGACTCAACTGCAAATAAGGAAAGGCATCCTTCTGTCCCCTTAATGTACCTTTCAACCAATCATAACTCCCCCTGCCCTATCCTTTTCTTCTTTTGAAGTTCACACTGTCCGCCTATTTAAACCCACTTCTTTAAGAATTGCTATCATCTACCCCCCACTCCCCCTCCCCCCTTGGCTATTCATTGAGCACTTTTCTTCCTGGCTTCCCCACTTCCTCTCATCTAGCACTCCTTTCCTTATACTTGGGGATTTCAATATCCCAATCAACAAACCCAATTGCACTAATGCCTCTCTTCTGCTCTCTGTAACCTCCTCCTTTGGCCTTATGCAATGGTCCAATTTAGCAACCCATACAGCTGGAAAACACTCTTGATCTCACCTTCACCAATCTCTGCACTGTCTCCAATCTCTCCAATATACCTTTACCTCTATCTGACCACCACCTGCTGACTTTTGACATCAGCATACCTAAGACCCAATTGACACCACCGTCTGAACATTAATCTCACAGAAACCTCCAATGTCTTGACCTAGAGCATTTCTCCACTAATTTCCAAACTCTTCTTTTACCTATCTCAAATCTCACTTGTCCTAGCTCTTCCCTTTCCTCTCAGCTAGACATCATGGCACTTGCTACATTTAAACGCAGCAAGCGTCCCCAACAACAACCTTGCAACACCAAGATGACTCAATACTTCCAAAAAAGCTCCAGAACTGCTGAACGCTGTTGGAGAAAGTCTCACTGTGCGTCTGACTTTCTCCACTATAAATTTATGCTGCGCTCATACAGCTTGGCTCTTTCCTCTACTTCAATACCCTCATAACCAAACTCTTCCGCGAATCCAATCCTCTAGCAGCATGTAAGCTTATTGAGCAGGGCCCTCAACCCCTCTATTCCTGTGTGCCCAACTTGTCTGGTTAAAACGACATGTTTGTTCGTCCACCCACTGTAAAGCGCTGCGGAATTTGTTGGTGCTATATAAATAATAACATAAATAATAGTTCCCTGATAACTTTACAGAGGTACCCAAATGGTTATGATGACAAGGATCAATAACTCAGAAATAAATTTTAAAAAATGGAAAAAGGTTGATATAAATAATTTAAAATGATATAATGAAAGCTAATGACAGCTGAAGATAGTAATGAACAATTAATAATTAATATTATTCTTATGTTAATATAAATTCCTTAGAAGTACCTCTAAATAAATGGCCACACTAAATGGTAATATTCACCATTAAAGGAATTAGTGTTTGGCCACAATAGGTTAATTAGCTTTTTGATTTACGTGTATAGTCTGATATATTGAAATTCTTATGTTGGTAATCCATTTGGTGATTTTTGTAATAAGGCACAGTTGCAAATGTGATGTATTTCTACAATTGTCCCAATACCTCTTTAATGTAATTTAGCTGCCATATTTTTATAAATGACCACATTTATACATTAGTTCCTAACGCTTGTTGTTTAGTGAAGCGTTTTTGAAATAGGATATTTATATCATAAAAAGTCTAATATTTATTGAGGGTGTTTTAACACCACTTGCTCATGCGTAAGTTTAAGCTGACCCATTGCAAGGTTGTTGAACATTAAAGTGCCTAACTATAACCCTCTTGTTGAAAATCAAAGTGTTACCAGTCCTAAATCAAGACCAGAGACTATCCATGAATGAAAGGGGTCAAATTAAACTCCCCATTTAGGCCTAGAAGTGCCAGTGTTTTGAAAACATGGATCCATTTAGATTCCTGTCTTAGCAATTTTTGATTGAAATTACCCTTTCTAGAATTGAGAGTAATTAATTCAATAGCCTCAAAGTTAAGGTGAGAGACATCACTTTTATGAACTTTTCTAATGTGGTTTGCTACTAGTGTGGTAATGTTGGGGTTAGTGACTGCATTGACATGCTGTAGAATTCATTGTCTAAACTGTTAATACGTCTTCCCCATGTACTGTAGTACTTTTTGTAGAACCACAGTTTATGAATTGATTAATACAAAATTTTTGGTTTGTGTGCATTCAATGGTTTGACAAAGTCACATGCCTTGCAGTGGCCACATCTGTATACACCCTTAATGGTAGTAAGCCAAGTTTTAGGAGCTGATTCTGGTTCAAAGTGGCTGTATACAAGGATGTCTCTTAGATTTTTGGGTCTAGGAGCTGTAATACTAGGGAATAGTAGAAGATGATTTGCCAGGTCACTGTCTGTCACGGTTATCACCGCAACATACAGACAACAAGATGTGGTTGCCCCTGGAAGAGACCAACAGGGACTTGAACCTGAGGCCTTATGCACTCTTGGTCTGTGTCTCTGCCTCTGAACCACATTTGGTTCTTGCTTTCAGCCTGGAAGTTCATTTCTGCCCTGTCTAGTATCCAGCACTGGGGGTTGGACATGAATTGGAATTACTCCTGGCACACCTGTTGTGGATAGTCTCGTTAGCCAGGTATAAAGCACTGCATCTCCCAGAAGGCAGGGTCAGTTCCTTGACTCTGGTTATCGGTTTGCTTTCTCCAGTGTATCTCTTGAGCCTGGCTTGTTTTTTCGTTGATTCTGACTTCTGGCATCCTCTGACCTTTGGCTTCCCTCGACTATTCTCCTGCTTTATTCATTCCTGTACCGCGACTTGGAGTTTACCCTGCATCGCCACCCATGACAGATGACCGTAGGCACTTGGAGTTCGTGGAGTGGACTTTGCAGCTTTCCTGTCCTTCCTGGTTCTTTTGCATGCAAGAGATCCTGTATCTGGACCGGTCTGCTGGAGATGGCTTCCTTATTTTTGTTGTGGAGGAGGTCGATCTTCTAAGCGGTACGGTGGTCGCTTCAGGTGTTCTCTTGTGATGCTTGGTTCCTGGTTCCTTGTTCTACTTCCTGTTGGTTATTCGGCATGCGAGAGTTCCTGTATCTGGACCAGTCTACTGGAGATGGATTCCTTATTTTTGTCGTGGAGGAGGTCGATCTGCTAAGTTGTACGGTGGTCGCTTCAGGTGTTGTGATGCTTGGTTCCTTGTTCTGGTTCCTGTTTTGTGGCAGTGCTCCTATTCTGGAGTGGATCTCGGTCCTGGCTGGTGGTTCCTTTGCAGGAGACCTTTCCAAAGGAATTAAAGTAGTTCAGAATGGCATTGTAAGCCGCAAACTACTCTCCTGCTGTGTCGGGAAATCCTTGCCTCCGGTAAGTCTTGAGGACTTAGTTGCTGGATCCTCACTTCTTTCCTGGTCTCTGCCTGAGAGCTGCTTGTTGTACCCGGTGGTCACTCCTTAAGGGGGGAATTATGTCACATCCTGTCCTGTTCTGCGGAGATGTCTGGCCTTGGCTTCTGGTATCCAGTACTCTTTTTACAATTCTTGTTTAATTTTTCTTGGTTTTTCTGGTTTTCTATTCCATGTCTGGTTTTCTTTTTGCTGGGTTTTCTGGGTTCATTCCTGTATTCCGTCCCTGGAATTCCCAGTCTCCAAGATTCATTTAAATGTGTGTTTTATGTTGCCACACCCATTCCTTTTTCATGATTTCTTTTGTTTCAGTCTGGACCTGCAGCAGTGGTTTCAAGTCCTCTGCCCTTTCTTGCAGGTAAGTGCTATATGTGCTTTATGGTTCTTATAGCGAACATTAGGCAGAGTAGGACCTGCCGAATATGGGGTACATTGGCGTTGTGGCAGGCTTATGCAATGAATGATCATATAATGTAACTAAATCCCGATAGTTTTCATATATAGTACTTAGTTTTGTCTCCTCTTCTTTTGCCTATTATATCTTGTCTTGTTTTATTTTGTATTCCCAGTCCATGTACAGTCCTGTCCTGTCCTGCCCCTGTTTAGTTAATGTTTCCCTTATGTATTGTGTACATGTTCTGGGTTTAGCTTCCTATCCTTCTCTGGTTCTGGGTTCTACTAGTTTTGTCTTGTTTTCTTGTTTGGTGCCTGTTCTAGTCTTGCCTTGTTTTCTGTACTGGATACATTCCTGTAGCAGAGCCTTCCTATTCAGCTCCTGGTTCCTGCTGCAGAGCCTTCCTATCCAGTTCCTGGGAGGTCTGCATATCTCCTAGCTCTTGGGATCCGCAGTAGCTGTATCAGGGACCTGGGATGTGGCCGCACAAACGCTGGTGCTCAACACCAGGGGGCGTGTGGTTACCCTGCACTAGGCCCCGATAAATCCTCTTCAACGCTGAAGACTCCCAAATTCTCATCAGGCACTCAGGGGGTCCCAGTTTCCCTACCACCCCCCATGTCTCAAAATTGGCCAATGGTCCGAATAAATTTGCTTAATTGGATCCCACAATCGATCAAATGTGCCAATGCAATGTATTAACTGGTTTTCTTGTTTTGGTCGGGTGGTCCTCAGACATGTTGTCCTGTCCATCGATACAACCCTTTGATAAGATCTTTTCAGTACTTTATTCAGATATCCTTGAGATTTGAAACATTTTTTCTATTCACTTCTTCTCTTTGGAAGGACTCATCACTGAAGCAATTTCTTCTTGCTCTTAGATACTGGCCATACGGTATTCCTGCTTTTTGGTTGTATGGGTGATGACTTTCCCAATGAAATAAATTGTTGGTTGAGGTAGTTTTCCTAAACAATTCAGTATCTTCTTTGCCATCCAGGTTCAAATTAATTTTGAGGTCCAGAAACTCTAACTCTTTATCATCGATGACATGGGTTAATGTTAATCCTATATTGTTGTGATTTAGAGTCTGAACAAGTTCTTGAAAAGTACTTATAGGGCCCGTATAATAATAAGACATCATCGATATATCTGTACCAGTGTAAAACATATTTACCATAATGTCTGGCCAAGACCTGAGTTAGAATCGTCTCTTCCCACCATCCCAGATAGAGATTGGCATAGCTCGGGGCACAAGCTGTGCCCATGACAATGCCTCTTGTTTGTAGATAATAATTCCCGTTAAACACAAAATTGTTATTTGTTAACACAAAATGTAATAACTCTTTTTGAGAGGGTAAGACTGTCTCCAATTTATTCAAAAAGTATGAGGTTGTTTTTAAACCTATCTCATGAGGGATATTATTATAGAGGGATACCACATCCAAGCATGCCAGTAGGGTATATGGTGGTACTGAAAGGTTTTCCAACAACAGCAATGTCTGTTCTGTGTCCTGTATATAGGAAGATAGCTTGGTGACAAAAGGATGTAAAAGCTTATCAATGTATTTGCTTGCATTCTCTGACAGAGATCCATTTTGAAGATACAATGGGTCTCCCTGGAGGTTTTTCTCTGTTTTTTATGAACCTCAAGAAGGCAATAAAACATAGCAATTGTTGGGGTTAGGTTTGGGAATATGTATTTACATTTTTCCCTCGTAATTATGTTATATTCTAATCCTTGATTTAGGACTTGTTTTAGTTCTTCCATAATTTTTGTAGTTGGATCTTTAGAAAGTTTTTCGTAACAAGAGGAGTCTGTAAGAGGCTCGGTGCGCATATTAATGATTTAGAAGGACAGTATTTCCTCCTTTATCCAAAGATTTTATGATAAGGTTTGTATTGGTGCTGAGTTCCCGTAAGGTTCTTTGTTCATTTAAAGATAAGGTATGTTTCTGAATCTGAGGTATCGGTAGTTTCTCGATCTTTCGGTGGTCATTTGGACAAATAGATCGACATTAGTGACCTCTTTGAAGCTGGGAGTATACCAACTTGGAGGTCTGAGATCTGTGAGGGATGGGATGTTATCCTGTTCCTCTAGTAATTGTACCTGAGTCAACCTTGCTGGGAATTGAACCTGTGACCCCCCAAGGATTGAACAGATTCTTCTGACAAAGCAATATTAAAAGGTTTAACAGAGGCCTAGGAGTAAGTGAACCCAGAGGCTATAATAAAATGCCCAACATAGGCCTAGGAAAAAGTTAATCCAGCTGCTATATTAAAAGGCCCAACAGAGGCCTAGGAATAAGTGACTCCAGTGGATATATTAAAAGCCATAGAGGCCTAGAAATAAGTGACTCCAGTGGATATATAAAAGAAACAAAGGCCTAGCAATAAGAGATGGCATGATCTTGCTACTCTTAGGGTCACAGCAAGTAAAACCCCTGGTCACTATAGGGGTATCTTCAGGGGGTCACCTTTGCACAGGGCCTGTATACTGAAGACTTCATAAGGAAGAGATGCTGAACTCATTTGAGGCAGAAGGTAACAACCCTCAGGTAAGCCAAAAAGGAAAATTCTCTTGTCTTAGAATTACTAAGTCTGTCCTAGGGATAGGACAGGAACAAAAAGACTGAGGGTGAAAGGGTAGGAGGGGTTACATATACCTTCTGTTTTAATTAGGTTCCTGTCTGGTTAGGGGTAGGGAGGAGCTACCGATTGTTGTGCTGCCATGGAAATATATACTTATGAAACCAAGAGGCTGCACTCACCTGAACATGCATACATTACAGGGTGCTGCTGGGGCCAATTCATACAATATACAATATACAAGATCCAGAGCACTCGCTCATTCACTAAACAGCAATTTCAAGTTTCACAGATTGTAATAGTTTTATATAAAAACACCTCACCTAGGCAAAAAATAATGGTTTAGTTACAGTATATGATAATACATTACATAAGCCTGCCACAACGTCAATATACCACAATCTTGGGATTCTCGGTTGCTCATGCTGGTGACTGTCTCCGGTTCGCTGCTAAACACCAACTTCTTCAAGTTATACTGTACTAGATATTGTAAAGTTCTGCGGAAAAGGTGGCACTATATAAATGACAATAATAATAATAATAATTACTTGTTACGGTACCCTCAGCATGAAATGTACAAACCGCCGTTTAGTGAATGCTCCCCTCTCCAATAGCATAGGCTGCATGCGTATCCAGTACAATCATGCGAACCGCAAGCAAGGGAACACTGCAAACTCACGAATGGGATCCGTACGAGCACTTCACTCCACGAGCTCCAAACTCACGAATCGCCAATATTAGCCGAACGCAGATATCTCCCAAGCGGCTAATAATCCCATCCAGCAGTCTCTAGTCATCGGTAATAAATCCCCCCAATAACGAGACCAAGCTCCGCACTGAGGGTAAAACAAGAACTGGCTTTACTGTGGGTTACCTGCCCGTATTTATGCAGGTCTCCCACTTGGTGGACACTCCCCTAGGGGACCAAATGGGAGACTGTGACAATAGACAGACATATGGCAAGCAGGACCCACAGACACAGAACATTCCCACAATGCTTTAGTGTTCCCTCCCCTCTGCCCTGGAGATAATTGAGAAGAAATTCAATTATCTCCAGGACAGAGGCAAATCGCCATTTTAAATTCAACACAGCAAAACATATGAAAATCTATAACTTTACTTTTGTCGAATGCTACCCATTCGTATAACGTATCCCCAGATAGCCTGGATCTGAGTGCATATTATTGGCGAATAGCGCTCAGATCCCATACGCACAGTTCAATCGCCATGGAGTCAAAGTCTATTACAGTCTTTCGGTATGCAATTGACTCCATGGGACGGCTATCTGGGTTAAGTCCATTCATGTGTTTAAACCTCCCGAACTGCCGGTGTTCGCATCGTTCTGTCGATTGAGAAGGGAGGTCGGCGGCTTCAGCGGTGTTCGGCAGAAAAAGTGTCCGTTTCCAGTTCCATGAAATCCATGCCGAGCACCGCTGGTCTTTCGCATGGTTTAAAATGGCCGCCGCCTCATGGTCGACATACGAACGACGACCACCCTGTATTCGTTTTTTTGAGAAGTGTCTGCGGTTAACCACAACGTTCTAATTGGGATCAAGAGGTTAACCAGCAGCACACTTCTCTTCTGGGTGGCCGTCCGTTCGGTAGTTTTGTTCGGTGGAAAAGTCAATTCACCAAACAGGGGCATACGAACGGGTAATTCCACGAACAAGGTAAAAATAGACGAACCAGCAATCTTAGGCTATACAGATGGATCTGTCACATTACTTTTCTATATTTACTAACTTTGACTTGCACTGTTTATCTAGTCAGTATAGACTACCCAATCTTACTAAAGGCAGTGATTGGCCATCATTAGTTCTATTTCTTAAGTTGGGACCACATGGTCTTATGTGGAAATTACTGTAATAGGAAAAAGGTGTGGGTTGTTTATCATTTTTTTTTCTTCATGATCTGAATTTGCATTGGCACGTTTCATCAATTTCTAATAACAATTTCTACTTCTATTTGTGGAAATCTGTGT